CCCTCGTAAGGGCCGGGCCGCGTCGGCGGCTACCGTTTCCCTTTGGATTCGGACTGTTGTCATACAGCGTATGCCATTAGGGGGCGGGAGCCCCCTTTTCCTGTCACTGCCCATTCTACTAGGGCTGTTGGCGCATCCTGGGCTTTTCGCCATGGTGCGTCTGTTTCTCAGGTTTGCAAGGCCGCTACTTGGTCTTCCGTTCACACCTTTGTCAAATTTTACAAGGTGGATGTTTTGGCATCGGCGGATGCTGGTTTGGGGCGTAAGGTTTTGCAGGCGGCCCTTTGAGTGGTTCTTTTTTGGGTTTCGTTGTTGTTTAGCCCATCCCTCATTGGTTACTGCTTGGTGACGTCCCTACCTTTCAGGATCTCCGATCTGTTGCCCTGTGTCCTTCAATGAACGGGAGAGAAAATAGGATTTTTGTACTCACCGTAAAATCCTTTTCTCTCCGTTCATTGAAGGACACAGGTCCCGCCCTCTTTCTCTGGGTATGCACTCCTAACTGCTTGTTACTAACTGGAGACTTGTCAGCAGGTGGGGGGTTGGGCCACCAGCAGGGGCCGCCCCTAGGCTGTCTAAGTCTTTTTTTGTTATGTGCCTAGCGTCCTACTCCTGCAGGTGGCGATATACCCTACCTTTCAGGATCTCCGATCTGTTGCCCTGTGTCCTTCAATGAACGGAGAGAAAAGGATTTTACGGTGAGTACAAAAATCCTATTTTTGTGATTTGGGCTGGTGCTTAATGATTATTCCAGTGTTATCACATGACAGCAGTGAGTTAACCTAGCCAGAGCTTACATGGGGCTTCCTTTATTTACTCCTAGCAGCAGTGAGGGATTGAAGGAAAGGGGCGAGTACATGCTACTAGAGAGGGTAGTGTTAACCCCTTCATGACTGAGGCCTTTTTTTCATTTTTTGCACCCATGTTATATTCCACATTTTAGGCCTGAAAATGACTTCAAACCCCCAAACATTATATATTTTCTGAATGCCAAGACCCTATAGAATAACATGGTGGTAGTTGCAAATTTTTTTGTTGCGCAATATTAGCGCAACTCCTTATTAAACCCCAACATTTAGTGAAAAATGTAATTAAATGCCCCAAAACACTACAAAATACCCATTTTTTAATGAAATATAAAACATGAGGTTACAATGAGTAAAATGATACCCAACATGCCCAGGTTACAAATTGCGTGCGTCCGTGAAACGGCGAAAAACTGCAGTACCCCAAAAAGTCCATAGACGCTTTAAAAGCCCCCAAAATACTGGCCCTAGAATTATTGCTCTCACTCCAGCATGCGCGGCGACACCCAACATGTGTAGCGAGTTCGTCATTTTCATACGTAGGCGCACCCGACGCGTGTTTACTTGGCGACGCGCGTGCTCGCGGGGGACTTTAAAAAATGTTTTTATTATTATTAGATTTATTTTAATTTTAAAAAACTTTTTAAATTAAAATCGCTTCTGTTGTAAAGCCGACAGTCGGCTTTACAAGTTTAAACAGACTCCCGGCGGGAGTCTGTTTAAACAGCACTGATGCTGGCGATGTACACTGTACGTCATCAGTCACAAAGGTGTTAAAGCAAATGTTAATTTGCCCTGCTTTACTAGAGAAAACTATGCTTGCTTTATGATGTAAACTTGTGTCATACTTCAGGTCATATAGTCAGATTTTCTTAGGTTTAGTTTTTACTTCCAGATTATTTTCATTTTACTTCCAGTTTACTTTAATTAAACTTCCAATGCTGACACCTGTTCTTGTGACAGTTGTCTAAAGAGGCAATTCTCCTCTCTTTGGAGAGTTTTTTTCTTCTCATTTCCTCTTGCATTGTCTAGACAGGAAGTGAAGGGAAAGCTTTCCAATGGAACATGGCAAAAATAAACCAAAAGGGGTTTTAACTAGGGATGTTTTTTTATTACATTTTTTTCCAATCTTTTAAAAAAAATTAAATTATTTTTTAACTATTTTTACTTTACTGCTGGGGGCTCTAAGGAAATATTAGGGGTCTAAACAGACTCCTGATATTTCCCTTTTTAAAATAGAAAAAGAGATTGCTGAGTTTTTAATCTCTTTTTTCTGCAGCCCCTGTTATAAATGAACAGGAATCCTATATACAGAGTGTTCCTGTTCATTCATACATCGTGGATACAGTGTACTTACTATGTCCAGTTATTTACAACACTTACCGATTTAGCTAATCGATGAGTGTTTGTATCTCTTCAGCCGAGACGGGCTGCATCTTAATGGGAAAGGTGCAGCATTCCTGGGGGGGAAAATGGTAGAAAGACTGGAGGAGCTTTTAAACTAGGAAGTGGGGGGGAGGGTATAAAAATAAAATCACTTAAACTAAACGTAGATAATTTAATCATAGGTAAAAATAACACAGAAAGTAGTAAAAAAGGAGTTCATAATAGTGGGCTCTGCGGTCCAGTTCTGGTCACCAGTACTAAGAAAAGATGTCCTTGAGTTGGAAAAAGTCCAGCGGAGGGCAACCAAACTAATTAGGGGTATGGAGGACCAGAGCTACGAGACAAGGCTACTAAATTTAAACATGTTCACATTGGAGGTGAGGAGATTGAGGGGGGATATGATCTCCATGTACAAAATGTTCAATGGTGGCAGCAACATTAGCGATAAACTGTTTAAAATTAACTCCATTACAAAAACTAGAGGCCACCACCTAAAATTGGTGGAAAAAAAATTCCAGCACAAGGGGCGAAGGGGGTTCTTCACAGTAAGATCAGTTAGGGTCTGGAACTCACTGCCACAGACAGTGATTTCAGCAAAGAATGTGGAATTGTTCAAGAAACTTTTGGACGATTTCTTAAGGGACCGTAATATACAGGGGTACAGGTACTCCTAGAATGAGATCCTAATAGGTTGGACTTGATGGACTAATGTCTTTATTCAACCTCAAATACTATGTAACTATGTATACCGCTCTCCGTTCTGATTTGGCTGTCACAAGAGGGGGGCGGGCGGTGGGGGAGGAGAGCTCTGCCTCCTGTGACCGATCACTGCACTCTCCTCCACTCACCGCTCTCTATCCTGACACAGAAGGCAGAGCTGGGAGGTGTGGCAGGATAACTCTGCCTCCTGTGACAGATCAGAGCTGTCACTGCCCTGCACTGCTCTCCATCCTGACACAGGGCCTGCATCAGAAGGCACACAGACCGGTGGCCAACAGGGAGAAGAGAAGCTAGTGATGCACTCAATTTTCGGCTGTCATGGCAATTTCGGCATTTTGCCAGAAGTGTTATTTTCATCGGAAATGTTTCAGCAACCGAAATTTCGGGGCATCTCTAGTTTTAACCATTCACTAGCCCATCCAAAAGAGAGGCTTTGGCTGTACATACAAACTTTTGGAGTTCTGTAGAATTGGAATCCTACATTTTGAATGGGTTGAATATAAAATAGCACTATAGAATGAGGATCTGAGCCTGCACCCAATCTGGCTTCTGCCCTTAGCTGTGATGTCATCAGAACCTGAATGGGAAATCTTCTAGAGTAAACTGTCCATATAGTTTGTACAGTGTGTTGCATGTATGTGAAGAAATTGCTTGTAAGTGGTTTTAATGGGTTTTTTTTTTTTTTTTTACTACCCTTTTAACATGTATATTTTTTTTTCCTCCACCAGATTGACAATTTAATTCAAAGAAGAGTACAAAGTGTGTTTAAGGAATCTTTTGACCAAAAAATACAAGATTTATCCAAACAAATCAACCTAATCCAGTGCAAAGAAGATAATACTGACGTACTTACCAGGCACCTTGTAAGTTCACTTTTTTTATATTTACTAAAGCTAGGCATAGACTGACATATGTTCACCAGAAAGCAACATTGGAAGTTGGGAGGTGTCTGCCTGTCATTTTTAAGACTGGAAAGAAAATCTCAGTAGCAGTGAGTGTTTTTGGTATCAGATGTACCTGTTTTCACCTCCTAGGGGTGCCCTCAAGTGACACTTGTATGGGAAGCCTAAAGTGACATTAAAGTCAGAATTATTTTTTCCCCTTCCCAATCCTGCTGTAGGAACTTTAACTTAAATGATGCCTCTTGATTCGATCATCTTCTTTTCTGTCCTTTTCAGCTGTCCCTCCAGCGCCGGTGCGGGTCTCCGATCCAGCGCCGGTGCGGGTCTCCGATCCAGCGCTGAATCCTCTCTCCTTCTCTAATGTCCCATGGAGTCTGTGCGTGTGCACGCTGCTCCATAGACTTACCTTGTGTCTCTCCTCGTCTCCTGGCCGAATATCTGAACTATGCATGCGCCCGCCCTAAGCTCTTTTGCGGCCGCCCAAGACTCTTCAGATGTTCGGACTGGAGCGCGCGGCGAAGACGCAGGTAAGTTTAAAGCCTTTTTAAAAGGGTGTTTTTTAAAATGTTTTTGCATATATCTACTGCTTGCTAGCAGTAAATATATGCAAAAAAACGCGAGGGTTTAATAACCCTTTAAACTTACATTGTTTTTTTATTTTATTTTTTTATTCAAATTTGTTTAAAGGACATTAGGAAACAGATGAAACAATGGCAAACTTAAATGTACCTCTATCCTACAGAAATCATTCTTTGCTTGACCTGCCTGTCTGAGGGAAGCACAGTGTTTACCAGCTCTGGCACACATAGCACAACTGGAGTCATGAGCTTGCACTAAGGTGCAGTGGGGGCAGTATGGAAATCCTTATCCTCTCTGGCATGAACCCTTATCCACCCCACAGACCCACACATATTTATCCCACACGTATGTAGTACCTACAAAATTTAGCTTCCTTTTAATATATTCCTTGCTGCCATAGCATACATTCTAATGTGTCTGGTCGTAGTGTAGGTTTAAGTGAGACTGTGGCAGTTTGGGGTGAAAGCTGATTAAATTGTATGTGTGGGTAAAAAAAAAAATCTTGATCATACATTTACAGGTCACAGGATCTTAAACAGTCTTAAACCATTGGTTCTGCAGCGGCCTTCTGGTGAATGGACACTGGCAAAGGGGTTCTAAACCCTCCGTTTTTTTTTGCTTATATCTACTGCTAGCATGCAGTAGATATAGGCAAGAAGTGTAAAAAAAAGAAAACCGCTTAAAATCATTTTAAACTTACCTCGTTATCGCCGCTTGCTCCCGCGCCGAGAATCAGGAACTGCTCGTACGGCCGCAAAGGATCCTGGGGTGGGCGCATGCGCAGTTCCGATTCCCGGCCGGGAGACAAGCAGAGACGCAATGTAAGTCTATGGACGCGTGCACCCGCCTGCAGACACCGCTGGATCAGAAAGACAGCAGTCAGCGCTGGATCGGAGTGACGTCACACCGCTGGAGGGACAGATGAAAACATGGGGAAAGAAGAGGAAGATCGGAAAAAGAGACATCATTTAAGGTAAGTGCTGACATTAACATGGGGGGAGGGAAACATTTTTTTGCCTTTTTTTTAATGTCACTTTAACTGTAAGGACCGCTCTAATATAACCCCTCCCAATCCCAGCAAGCCTCATTTTTTGTTAGTGTCCTTAGATAAACAGAAGATGACTCTCTTGGGGGATATCCCTTACTACACATTGCAGACCATAGAATGCAAGGGGAATGGGTCAACAGGCCTTGCTAGCTTACACTCCGCTAACTGCTCAGAGGGATTTGCAGTCGTTCGCAAACAAAATCCTGGTTCTGTTAGTCCTAATAGAACCAGGAATCCAAGTCATTATACTCCTCAGGGACCTCCCTGGCTCCTTCTGGCACACTTTCCCTCTAACTGAAGATTCTTGCAACTTAACATTCTGGGAGCATGGAACAGTCTTTGGATCTCTGGACTTTACCTAGCAGGGCGGATTTCCAATCGGATAAATCGGAGACAGCAGAAAGCATGCAGCTCAGAGAAGGGGACCTAATTTATGCATGGACAGGACTCAAGATTCGGGCCCTGACTTATGTGCACATTGCATCTGTGTAAAATTGCCAGTAAAACTTCCTCAGTCGTCAACATCTGGATCCCAAACAATGGTCTTTATTGCCAAGACCAAGGGTCCTTAGGCTTCAGTCATCGCTATGTTTTTTAAAAGGTACGAATTCTACTTCTCACTAAGTCTACTATTGCACCTGGAAGGCTTACTTTGCCTGCTCCAAGGCAAGGAAATTCCATCCCAGGATGAACTCCATGGGGCAAATCCAGTCTTCTTGTCTTGACTGGATCAGCATTTGGCCTTGAGCACAGTCAAGGTTAAGATCCTTGCTCTAGCTATCCTTTTCCAAAGACCCCTTGCCTGTCACTCCTTTGTAAAAGCTTTTGTGCAGGGTGTCGCTCAGATTGCTTCTCTAGTATGCTTCCCAGCGACACAGATCTCAGTGTCGCTGGGAAGTGTCTTGTTGGCCTTTCAGAAGCTGCCCTTTAAACCTCCTAGGGATTTTTCTTTGCCTACCTTCACTTAACGTTGCCTTTCTCATTTCTTTCACTTCTGTGAGGCGAGTCTCTAAGTTAGCAGCCTTATATTGTTAAGAGCCCTTCTTAGCGTTACACTGAGATGTTTGTCTTAAGGCCCAAGACCTCCTTTCTTCCCAAGGTAGTCTCCTCCTTCCACTTTAACAGGACATTGTACCCTGTAGGGGACACCCTACATCTTCCCCTATTTCCAGGTGCAGTAGGCAAATCATCATTCAAGCCTATAGTCTAAATGATAAGGTTTCAACCTCCCCTGCTAAGACACACTTAACTGTGCTTCATGGCGTTTTCAGATTTGCAAGCCTGACACCTGGTCTTCAGTTCACCTGTTAGGAAAACAGGATTTTGCCTTGCCTGTAAAATTCCTTTCTTGAAGTTCATTACCAGACATCCATAGGTTCCTTATGGTACTGAGGCTTGATGAGAGTGGAAGGGGTTATATTAGGACTGTCTTAACAGCTTTGTTTGCAAGTGCTTGCCATGTTTTGAAAGAGATCCAGCATGGGGAAATTTGCATGTGTTGGAGAGCTGTGCTCAAGTTGTGTTTTTGTTATTTTTCCTCACACAAACTGCACAATATTAGCTCAGCATATTATCAAACCCCAAAATTTAGTGAAAAATGCACTTAAATGCCCCAAAACACAATTAAATACCAATTTTTAATGTAAAAGATGAGATTATAACGAGTAAATAGATACCCAACATGCCTAGGTTAAAAATTGTGTGCATCCGTGAAACTGCAACAGAATTCAGTACCCCCAAAAAAACATAGATGGGGGGGGTGGCCCATGGCCGGACAGCTGAGTTGCCAGATCGCTTCTATGGTAAAGCCGAACAGTCGGCTTTACAATTGTAAACGGGCCCGGTGCCAGTGATGTACTATGGATGTAACTGGTCACTAAGGGGTTAATGTATTGGTGTGTTTTTGGGAGGCTCGTTTGCATCTGGGGGATATCCATGCAAACACATTTCCATGGTGGGAACTGAAAACATGATCCCAGTGGTGCAAAACATTTAGATAACAAACTATTAAAGTGACAAACTTTTTTTTTTTTTTTTTTGTAAAATCAATTCAGCTATATGAGACTTACTGTAGTATTTCTTCATTCTGTGCATCCGTCTTTTAAGTCTTCTTTCTTCTTAGTGCTGGCCAGGACTTCTGCTTCGAGGTTGACTCCATTGCCTTGCTGTGTCTAATGGAGTCTCCCTCCCTGCATTCAGAGGCATGGCAGATCCACAGGCAGCCTGATGTCTGGAGGAACGCCTCCTCTTTTGATTGACGGCGACTCTGTGTAAGTATCTCAGAGTCCTCTCTAGACTAAATCTTTTTTTTTATTTTGTAACAAGCTTTATTTATAATGTTCATAGACTGTGCAGCAATCTCCAGTCTTATGTTTTAGTTTTTTCATGGAATGTTGAATTCTGGTTGGCTGGTTATTTTATATAGTAATATAGCACAGTCAACCATTACAAGCAAGATAGGTCATCTAAACAGTGTTTTAGATGTTTTGTTTTGTGATACTTTTTTTTTTCTTTGTGAGCAATTTTACTTTCTTGCAATAATTCACTTACATTGTATTTTATCCATAAGTGTGCTGATCTTTAAATATTTAATAGTAAGAGGGTAAGAACAGAACATGTAGGCCCCATAAAAGACAAAAAGGGGAAGTTAGCTACCAGTGACAGGGAGAAAGCTGATGTGTTAAACATCTTATTCTTTGCTTCTTTCTTTACAGAGCAGTCAGATGGGGTTAATAAACAAGGAATCAGTTCAAATAATAAAACATTTAATGTATTCCAGTGGGTGTCAGGAATCAAAGTGTAAGAGAGTCTGGAAAGATTAAATGTAAACAAATCTCCAGGACCAGATAGGTTACATCCACAGGTACTCAAGGAGCCAGGTCATAGCCACACCACTGTTCCTATGAAGGAGTATGAAGTTAGACAGAGGAACACCAGTAAATTAACTTATAGAACATGATTGAATACAGAAAACAATGTTAATTATAAATCCACATAGTTCCCCATCCAAAATGGTGGGTTGATGTATTTGTCCCCAGTATTACTTCATCTGATGTCCACAATATATCAACATAACCTGTATGGCTACCTTGTGAGTTTGTACAGAGATAAAGGCAATGATTCTCAAGGATTCCACATGATTTATATGTTAAAGGTACATAGTTGAGGCATATAAAAGATGGTCATGGTTGTGTCAAACGCATTGTGATTCACCATAAGACTGTGTGCACATACATGATCAAATTAATTAGTTCTGTAGAAGTGTCAAAAAATTCATGTATAAATAGATAACACAAAATAATAGTAATAATGAGTAAATAAATAGTAAGCAGGC